GCCACTCAGGAGGCTACGGTGAGAGGATCGCTTGAGCCCAGGGAGATTGAGGCTGCAGTGAGCATCATCATGCCACTGTGCTCCTGTCTGGACGACAGAATGAGGCCCTTCTCAAAAATAAACTAAATAAAATAAAATATAAAATAAAAATAAAATCAGCAGCCCAAGTGCTGGCGGGCTAGAGGAAGACGCGGCCTGCCATTCCATCAGGGTGGGAAGCACACATTCACACTCTCAAAAGAGTAGACGCTGGTCACACACAGTCGCACCCCAGGGGTAGGATAGCATCAGCTTTCCCTCCGCTATGAGCCAGGCAGAGGAGCACAGACCAATACCTTCCAAGGTGTTCCTCCGACCATCCCCACCGATGATCACTTCAAATTCATACTCTGACACAGGATGAGTTTTGGGGTGCACCAGTGCCCGCCAGCCTATCCCTGTGGACCAAAACCAAATAAATGGAGGTCACCACACAGACCACATTCACAGTCAGGACTGTCTCCAGACACCTAGTCACGTGGACTGCACAAAACCCTGGGTCAAAAAGACTACATGTAGAAACAGTGGGGACAGAGGCCGGGCATGGAGGCTCATGCCTGTAATCTTAGCACTTTGGGAGGCAGAGGCTGGCATATTGCTTGACGCCAGGAATTATGAGGGACCAGCCTGGCCAGCATGGTGAAACTCTGTCTCTACTAAAAATACAAAAATTAGCCTGGCATGGTGAAACATGCCTGTAATCCCAGCTACTCTGGAGACCGAGGCAGGAGAATTGCTCAGAGGTCACAGTGAGCCGAGTTTGAGCCACTGCACTCCAGGCTGGGCGGCAGAATGAGACTCTCATCTAAAAAAGAAAAGCAGTGGGGACGAATGAACCACAGAAGGAAAGAAGCCTTGCAGACAGCCTACGAGGCCCTTCCCACCACATGTGTGCCTGCGACCTCTAAGGCTGCAGACCCAGTCCCCAACAGCCCAGCCTGCGAGGGCCTTTGACTTGCTCCCCCAATCTTATCTTCCTCACCCGTCAAAACCCTCTCACACCTTCCTCACTCCTCCAGTCTGACTTACGTTCATTCTCCTGGTCCTCAGGAGGCTGGATAAGTCCTTGGAATTCCACATTGACGTGGATTTCAATGCCTAGGATCAAGGCTACTTTCAAAAGTATCAGTTGGAGCTGACGGATACCTGGGAGAATACAGAGATGGTGTTGGTGGGAACACACAGAGAAGGCGGTGCCCATCTGTGTCACAGCTCAGGCTCCCACCCTGCCACCTATGCACTCTTCATTCAGATTCCCAAAGCCCGCTGTGGCAGGAGACGTTTCCAAAGCCACACTCTGTAACTTCTTACTTCCTTTCTTAAAGGCAAATATAACCCAGTGGAAGAGAGGTTCTAGAGCAACACGCAGGCCACTCCCACCTCTTGGGTTCAGTGTTCTAAACAATCAAAAGCCTGGAGACAACATGGGATTGTAGTCAACAGAAGATTCCTTTCCATCTTCCCAATTCCGGGCCGCCATATTGGCAGCATATCCGATCCTGCTGGATTAGGAGGCAGATGTGCACCTACAGGGTACAGCCCACAGTCAGACGCAGAGCTGCTGCATGACCTCCCCGCCCGTGGGCATCTCTCTTTCAGCCCATTCCCTGGTTGATAAGCACACATTCTTATAAGGCAAGGAAAGGAAATTGCAATCTAACCTGATCCTCTTACCATTCCCCCGTAACTCCTGCTCTACAGCTGTGGAAACTGAGGCCAGAATGACTGACAACTTGCTCACTTTCACAGTGAGACCAAGTGATTTACTTGATGTCCATGAGCACCTGCAGGCACCAGACGTGGCAGGGACTAAAGGTACAGCGATAAAGATCTAGGCCCTGGTAAAAGACCCTTTCAACTCCAAGATAAATCTTGCCACAAATAAGGCAGACAAATCCACTGAGTTAATGACCTCGGTCCTCTCTTAAGACCAAACTTCCCTGGCGCCTGTGTCTAATCTGCCAGGAGCAATGCAAACCTTCCTCAAGTCATCTTGTTCTCCCAGTTTACCACAGCCACCACCCTTCTGAGTCCCACTCCCAAAGACTTGTTAAACTCTGCGTTAGCACAGAATTTTTGCAGACAACTGTGGGTTCCAAAGTGCTTTACAAACAACAGCCAACAGATGGGCAGCGCACTTCCTCTGCCAGTGGAATGTGGTCACTGCCAGCCAGCGTCTGATAAATTGGCACATCTGCTGCAAAGAGCAAAAGGTTCCATGACTGAATGTGTTTACAGGACACATCTGGGGAAGCTCAGAACAAAGGCTCCTTGATAAAGCTTTCCTGAAAGCATTAATGATAATCAATAAAAAGCCTTCAGTTGCATAATACACACTGTCTGTTCTCAATTGCTTTTCTGGTGGGCCACTTACAGTGAAACACCACTGATTGCATTAACTGGTATTTATACCCTGTAGGATCTCAGAAAAGCACAGGCCCAGGCTAAGCTTGGAGGTGACAAAAGTAGAGCAAGAGCGTGCAGACTGCACCAGAACCACCTAACCAGAGGAATGCCATTATTCCCTGCCATTAACGGCCAGGCCAGGGCTCTGCTGCTTCTGCAAGGGTGGCTTCCCCCAGGACTGTGTCCCCACAGCACTTCGTTCTTTACAGTAGTGGAGCATGTATCAGGTCACAGCACAGACAGCCGCATGCCTACTTCTGCCCCTGCAAGAGGAACCACCAGAGGGCCGAGGCTCAAACTGTCACTGTTTCCCCAGTGCTCATCTCACAAACTGCAAGAGCTCAGGAAGAGTCCAAGACCTAACTTAGAAATCCTCCAGCCAAACTCCACCTTTCACAGGTTAAACTCCACTCTTCCACACTCACAGTTAAGAGTCCTAAACTATAGGACAGCAGCATAGCAGGTGTCTTTACTTCAAGGTGAGTCCACTTACTACAAGAAAGACAGTAATGAGATTAGAAGAAACTGGGTGGTGTTTGAATTCCTCAGCGAATCCACCTGTCTTTCCACTGAACAAGTGTGTGAGGGGTAGAGTGGAAGGCTCCAGGAGAGCTAGTTTTACTTACTGATGTGGTCGATGGCTCCTGCACAGAACTTGCCGTAGAACTTCTTGGCACCCAGACCTCGAAGATCATGTATAGTGAATGGCCAGAGGTGTAAGACGTTGTTGCGGGAGAAGGCGTCTCGTTTCTCAATAACCACCACCTTGGCCCCCAGTAAGGATAAGTCGATGGCTGTGCGGAGACCACAGGGGCCAGCCCCAATGATGAGACACTGAAAAACACAGCTGCTTTCAGGGCAGGCGGCACTTTCAAGAAACAATTCTACAGAAGCCTCATGATTGTATAATCATCGCTCCCTAAAGCCCCCAAAATAGGGCTATTCTCCCCACTCCCAAGAAACCTTCGCACCTGCACAGGTCACCGCAGAGCACCTGCCACGGCTTAAGAGAAGAGCTAATGATCACGGTGGAGAAGACAGAACCGTCAGTGCTAGAGACAAGCCTGGCATATGGCTGGAAGGCCCTTGATCTGCAGCATATTTAACTGGCATCACCTCAACAAATGGTATGAAAATCACATACAATCTTACATCAACAGGAGAGGACCTTTTGGAAGGTTTCTAGATCAAGCAGATTTCTGTCCAAAGAGATACAGAGTACTACATACACAAGCCAGGCAATCTCAAGCCTCCTGGAATGAGTCTACCACAAATGTGATTCCCAGAAAGCAATTTTCAAGAGCCGAAGTTTTAGGTGCTGAAAAGAGTTCCAAAATCCCCCTGTCCAGACTGAAAGTCCAGGGACATGATATCGAAAATCCACAGTACTTCCAGAGAAGTACTCAGCGGGAGACCGGACACGTATCTTAAACAGTTTGCTGTGTGTGTGCAGAGGGAGGATGTGCAATGCTTTCGGCTTTGTTTTGTTTTGTTCTTAGTAGAGTCCAGTACTCACGAAAGTCATGCCTTCACAGTTCTTGAATTTTGCTGATGATTATCTACCCAAATGCAAATCCACTGGGGGTGGGGCTCTAGGTATCCCCTGTTGCACAAATTAAAGCTCGTGAAAGAACATAACATAGCCACGAAGTCATCTGCAAATTTGTGTTCTTGCTAGCTTGTTCCAAACTTCTCACATTAGGTGTTTTTCTAAGGAGGGAAGCAGGAAATGTATCTCCACATCAGCTTCCTCGCACCTACCCTGGCAAAGGCAAGTGCGTAACTCAGGTCTTTGCCTAGGCCTACCTGCTTCGTGGAAACCCTATTTCTCCACATGGTAAAGAACGCAACAGAAATACTTCGGTTCACAAAGTCCTTGCTTATGAATCAAACAGACCTTTGGAACGTGGATGGGAAGAGGTCTGAAGCTAGTGGCAAATCCTAAGTTGGCAAATACCAGCTACTGAGTACGGAATGATAAGTTTGGAAAGATAACATGCCAAGAACCCCAAAGCTGTGTTCGGACAGGATACCAGCAGGGCTTGGCTATGCCCCTGCTCAGTGACCTGCATCCTCCAAAACACGTAAGCTCAAAAGAGAGCTTCAGCAAAATAAAAAGTTCCTGTGCCACTTGACTTTAGTCATTCTTAAATACTTGAAACTTTGAATGTTCAATACGTAAATACATGAAATACACTTAGAACAGGGTCTGGGCCACGGGAGTCAAACAAGAAGAGGTAAGAGATCCACAAAGTTTCAACAGGGTGGAAGCCTGACTTCCTATGCTAGTTGTTGCTAGACTCCGCCTGGTTCTCACTCAGCCTACCTCTAACTCAATCCTCCTCTTCAGCACCTGGGTGAATCCTCACCAGTGACCCCAGGGCCCAATAGGAGCTGAAGCTTACCTTGGTGTTAGTGCATGCTTTTCCCTTTTTGTAGTCTTTGTGACTGCCCCGTTTGTCCAACTTTGCCCAGAGGGCTTTGGCTTTCCAGTAGTTAAGCTTGGACTTGAGCTTGTGATAGAAGGAGCGGTAGTCCTTTGGCTTCAGTTCCAGATGGTCACAGAGCTCCTGGAAGGCCTTAAGGGTTCCCTTACAAGTGGTGGCCTGGACAAACCGGTCAAAGAGGACATGAGCTGGGTTCATGGTCTCATGCTTCCTCTCCTCCATGCTGCCCCACTCTCAGCACTCCCCACAGCGGGCAGTGGGATGGCTGTGGGTCCACCTGACACTGTCACGTTAATCTGACAAAAAGAAAGAAAAAAGATGATCAGCATTTTTTTGTCTACAAACATTCTCCAGGAGACATACTCCTCTTCCAAGCAGAGTTCCCAAGTGTCGCAGTCATCCATCCACAAGTGTGGACTGCACACCTGCAATCCTCCAGGCATTACGAGACACTGGGGCTGGAAAGGTGAGTAGGATGGTTCTTGCTCTCAGGGATCTGACAGTCTAGGGGACAAGGCAGCCACGGGCACAGAATGTCCTGATGGACTGTACCAAGTGCCACTTCAGAGGAAGACACGAGGGATTTGGGAACCGGAGGGAGACACGAGGGATTTGGGAAACAGAGAAAGAAGATCTAAGTCGCTACTGGCGGTGAGTGGAGGTCCCCACCGAAGTCGAGTCTCTGAATGGTGGCAGCTGAGTCTCTCAGCATAAATGTTAGCCAGGCAGGGAAGAGGTACAGGACATGGGAAAGTGACATAGGCAGTCTTGAGTGACTCGTACGGATCAAAGAGGCAAGGATGACTCCCAGGTTTCCAGCTTAGGCCCCGGATTAAACGGAGACATCAGGCCAATGGATTAAAAATAGAAGCACTCCTCGGTGCCGGTGGAGCAGTGAGCCCCGTTCCCCACCTGTGCGTGTGAACTCCGAGTGGAGGTGCTCAGTGGGCAGTCGGGCATGAACGTGAAGTTCAGGGAGACCCAGATTTGGGAGTCACCGGCACACGGGCAGTAGCTAAGCCTACAAAAGCAGGTAGATCACACAAGGGGAGTGCATGGGGAGAGGCGCCACAGGCTCTGGAGGTGGTCCAGGAGGCCCTGCCTTCAAGAGGCTGGCAGAGAACGACAAGCCATCTCAAAAGTTGAGGAACAGTAGGGAGAGGTCTGAAGAGAACCAACCAGCAGCGTCACAGAAGTCTAAGGAGCAGAAAGTTCAGGAGTGTCCAAGTCAGCAGGGATGAAAAGAACTGAAGTCCTGCCATCGCGTAAGGTACAGGGTGGGGAGACTTTGTAGTCATTCCATTTTCACCCAGAATCAAACTGCACAGCAGTAAGGACGGTATCTATGCTTTCCACCTATGGAAACGTCCGCACACCTGCCTCCAGTGAGTCTGCTGGACAGAGGCTGGGAGGTGGGGGACGGTGTCGCGTGCACTGCTGCACCCACGGGCTCCTGTGAGTCTGCAGAATCGTTTTTACACCCCATCTGATGAATCCTTACCACTGGAACAGTATCAGGAGGTAGGAGGCAAAAGGACAAAGGACAAAACTAGAGAGCACAGAGTGGGTCAGGGTGATGAGAAGAGTGTGGCCACAGGGCTGAGCCCACACGGCAGACCCCCGCTGCACGACCCCGCTGCACAACCCTGGGTAGGCCTGCCGCACAAACCCTCGGTTTGCCTGTGTGTGAGACAAGAAGGCAGAGGCTGCAGTGAGCTGAGATCATATCACTGCACTCCAGCCTGGGCGACAGAGTGAGACCCTGTCTCAAAACTAAACAACAAAAAAACCCACTGCACTGTTAACATACATAGCTACTCCCAGTAACCACATGGCTAAGAGTCCAGCAAGAAATGGAGTTAACAGGAATTTAACATTCAGTTTCCCAGAAAAATAAAGGTTTTATTCCAGGTAGCAGCAAGAGAAACACTTTACAGATCCTAAAAAGAACCTACTGTTTTTCTTACAAGCCAGAGCTTATCTTAGAAATGTTACAAAGTTGGCCGGGTGCGGTGGCTCACGCCTGTAATCCCAACACTTTGGGAGGCCGAGGCGGGTGGATCACGAGGTTAAGAGATCGAGACCATCCTGGTCAACATGGAGAAACCCCGTCTCCACTAAAAATACAAAAAAATTAGCTGGGCATGGTGGCGCGTGCCTGTAATCCCAGCTACTCGGGAGGCTGAGGCAGAAGAATTGCCTGAACCCAGGAGGCGGAGGTTGCGGTGAGCCGAGATCGA